GATATTTAGAGAAGCATGTAAAGGTTTAAAGTTTCTATTTGCATTGTATTGTATTCTCTCTCTCTCTGTCTTTCTTTCTTTCTTTCGGGATGGTCGACGCCCTGCAGCTCTTCCGCCTGCTGGTGCGGGCCCGCCTCTCGCTCGAGTTTGAGCACGCTGTCCTCCGGCAGACGGTGCCTGCCTTTGAGGAGCGCTGGGCCCTCGAGGGGGCGCTGTGCCGAGTCGAGGCGGGACGCCTGGTCCTCGTGCTGTGAGACCACCGGCTGCTCGAGCTTCAGGGACGCCTCGAGAGGGGCCGAGGCCTTGGACTTTGGTTCATGCAGGGCGACCCCTGAGGCCTCATGGGTGTCCCCCGCTGGCAGGACTGTAAAAAAGTGAATATAGTCCGAATGTTCGTTTGTGGTTTTTTATGGGGGTGCGCGTGTGTGTGTGTTGTTTTGTTAGTTTAGAGTGTATGGGCAGGCCTTGCAGGCCATGAGCCAAGGCCTTGTCCATGAGGCCCAGATATCCGGGCATACCTGTACATGCTCTTTACTAGCTCCGAGTGATCACCCACCCGGGAATAAATGTCTCTTAAAAGTCAAAGTCTTCGTTCTCCTGCAGAGGCAGGTGGTGGGGTTGATGCTTTGGGAGCCAGCGGTGCGGCTGGTCCTGTCAGCATATGCTAACAATGTACTTCTTGCAGTCCAGGACTTAGGTGACCTGGCACAGGTGGAGGCCTGCAGGCATTGTACTTGGTGGCCTCCTCTGCCCGGGTCAACTGGGTCAGGAGATTCAGCTTGGTGGTGGGTGACAGGTGGCAGATGGGCTCACTCCCACCTGTGCTCCACGGGATCTGCTGGAGCGTGGGCTCGCTGCTGTACTTGGGGGTCTACCTGTCCTCCACAGACCCGTCTCCACCAGAGAACTAGCACCAGCTGGAGGCAAGAGTGGTGGAGCAGTTCAGGTGTGGGCTCCTGAGGCATCTCTCCCTACATAGGAGAGTGCTGGTGCTGAACCAGCTGGTTCTGTCCATGCGTTAGAAGCTCTTGCACACCCTGCCTGTACCCCCTGAGGTCCTGGTGGGGTTCCAGAGACAGGCACTAGAGTTTTTTCTGGCCAGGATGGCACTGGGTCACTGCAGAGGTACTGAACTTCCCCTTGCAGGAGGGAGGACAGGGCCTGGCTTGCCTGCACAGCCAGGTCCTGGCTTTCCACCTTCAGGACCTGCAGCAACTGCTATATGGTGTCAGTAACCAGGCAGCATGGGGCCACCTGTGGTGCGCTTTCCTCTGCCACTTCCAGGGGCTCCAATACGATTGGCAGCTCCTTGGCCTGCAAGGCTTCTCCCTGCAGGACCTGTGAGGGCTGCCAGATTTCTACCAGGACCTCCTCCAGGCCTGGAATCTAGTCTCCACCTCCAGGTCCCCAACAACACTTGCCCAGGGTGCCGACCTGCTCATCGAGGCACCTTCAGATGGGGGTACCAGAGGAGGAGCAATGACAGAGGCACCCCGGTTGCGACAGAGGTTGATCCTGGCTGGTGTCACCTGTATCGGAGACCTCCTGGACTACAGTAGGCAGGAGTGGGTGGACCCCACTTTGCTGGCCCAGCCCATGGGTCTACCCACGACACGTATGACCTGCCCTCTGGTGCAGGAGGTGAAACCTGCCCTATCTCCCGACATCCTTGCCTTTGTTGACCCAGGTCCTGCATGGTGGCAGTCCCCACCCCCTTATGCCCTCCAGCCCATTGGAGTTTGTTGTGGGGCTGGTGCCTCACCCAGGCTCATAGTGCTCCCTGCTACACCACCTGAGCCAGCTGGAGGACACCAAACCGGTCTGCTTTTCTACTGTTCATCACTGCCACCTCTACTTGCTTGTGTGCTGCACAATCCATCATGCCACTCTTGCATCCCAACCAGACACCAAGTGACAGGACCTGCCTGGCAAAGGTGTGGCTGGGGCACCCCAGTGGCTGAGTCTGTACTTCACCCTCATCCCATGAGCCACTGGGGATCTCAGCTGGTGGCTCCTCCATGCAGCCGTCGCCACGGGCGTGTACGTGGCAAGCTTCATGGACACCCCAGTGTCATGCCGCTTCTGCAGGCAGAGGGAGACCCTGGCGCACATGACTCTTGAGTGCGCCAGGCTGCAGCACCTCCACCTCCAGAGGTTCTGGTTGAATTTCATCCCCCACTTCTTGTTTTTGGTCACCCCATCCACAGCCCCACCAAGTCCTGGGATCTCTTGGCCACCCTCCTCCTGGCCCTGGCCAAGTGCACCCTGTACTTGACCAGGAAGGAGGCTCTGGCCAGGAAGGTGCCCAGAGACTGCAGGACTACTTTCCTCCCATTTGTCTGTGCATGTTTCTGGGCAAAGCACCAGTGGGCGGTGTCCACTGGCTCCTTGGATGCTTTTGAAGACTGGTGGGTGCAGCCCCAGGGCACTCTGCTCTGTGTCCCCCTCCACAGAACTTCTTTTCACATTTTGAACCTTTGACCCCCACATCACTCCTACTCTTTTCTTCCTTAATTGTCCCACAAATAAATAAATAAATAAATTATCAGATGCATCTTTCAAACTTTGGCCCCACACAGTGGGGGCTATTAGTTAACTAGGTGGGCCTTAAGGCCCATGATCTCTGCAAGTTACAAACAGACAGGAGCTTCTGGGGACCAGCCAATGGCTACCTGGGGACATGACCCCTTGTGCCAGCTGGACTGCTGAAGCAGCCCTGAAAGTTCCCTGCACCCTGTACGCACTGCAGTAGTCTGGCAGTGGGGGCTGCTGCCTGACTGTGACGTGCTGCCATCTGCGACAGCTGTGCTCCAGGGCTGTGCTCCTGCCAGACCTGGATAGAGACTGCGCAGCCAGCGGAGGCACCTGCCCCTCTGGGCAAGCTACCAGTGGATGTGGCTGCACAGTTGCCTTTGTGCGGCACTACTGCCATGTGTGCTCCTACCTAGCCATCTGGGCAGCTATCACCCAGAAGATTTTCCCATGTAGTGGCCTGCTTTGAACTGTCAAAGCATGTCCTCCTGGCCCTAAGTGGCCAGGAAGTCAGTCACCTCCAGTTGGGTCCCAGGTGCCAGCCCTGAGCAGGCTCCTCTGCCTGGGTCCTGCTATTTGCCTCACTATCAGGAATTCCAGTGTTCCCCATTTAAAACCTGCAAAATCTCTGAAAAAAAAATCCCAAATTCACTCTTTAAAATACCCCAAAATCCATGTTCCTCCACAATTAAAACAAAAGACCACTAGAGATGTATATTGGCGCAGCATGGCATGGGGCCATGTGCTTTTGGGCAGCTCCAAGTTGTCACCCAGGGCTGCACACGGCTCACAGGGACCATTGGCTGCATGGCCTGGGTCCTGTGTGCACACAAGCAGCCTGGCTGGATGGCGTAGGGCTCATGCACGCAGGACCTGGGCTGGTCCAGCTGGTGGTCCCTGTGAGCAGCGCATAACCCCAAGTAAAAGCCCGAAAGCACACGGCCCCATGCCGCACTGAGCTGGGCCGCAGCAGCATACTGTGCCAGAGGCTGCATAGATACCTGGCAGCTTGGACCAAGCTGCGCTGCCCCCCACCATGCAGGGGGGCTGTGCCATGAGGCTAAGAGTGTAGCTACTGTTTCTGGTAAGCTGGGACTACCCAACTTGCTTTTAGGAGTTCAAGTAGATAATATTAGACCTGGCCCTATTTGTCCCTACTTAACATATAACCAAAACTCAAAACAAACTTTAATCTTTTTAGTAGTTAGAAAAAAAATCAACTGCTACAGAAGGTGGAAATAGTAAAATAGTGTAAAAGCTGTGTTTCCTTCTAATATCACTGATAAGCTGTGGAACTGGGAAACTGACAACAAGAGGTCCTGGAAATCATTTTTGGAAAGTGACTTCTGATAATATTAGCACATAAAACAGATATGAAGAAATTGTAAATAAAATTTGGACTCATACCCAAATTTTTCTAAGATTACGTACCACCACTTGACTCTCTTTCCAAAATGAATCTACCACAATAGCATACATCCATTGTGAGAGCAATCTAATATTTCCTATATTATTAGAAATTATTTTAAAGCAGCAGTTGTAATATATATTTTTGGGGGTTGTTTTGTTTTTGTAAAGGATGTAAGGCACCACTGATGTAACAGATCTAGATACATCTCCTGAATACAGCCTGACAATTTTGTTCAACTGTGTAATGATTCCATTATGTATTTGGATGTGAGCTGGACAACAGGACAAAGCCTTCAGAATTACTTCATTTTTCGATCTTGGGTCAAATTTGCTGAAGTGTTTAAGTGAATTGGGATGCTCAGTGCCACTTTCAAAAGTGATTTGACATGTATAAGGTCACTAGGACTTAGACCCCTAGGTCCCAAAACTGCCATTTGGGTGCTTTTAAAAACTTTACCCAACATCTGAATTTGAAGCCAGGCCTGAAGGTAGAAGTTTCCCAGAAATTGGGATTCGCAGTTTTCTATTTCCATTTGCACCAGAAACAACTGTTGGAAGAAAAGCCTCCTTCTCTGTGTGAACATTGTAAACAATCATTAGAAGATCCTGAGGCTATTTTATAATGTAAACATTTCGGGAAATGTTGGCTTCTCTCACTACAGAAACATCTTGAATGATAGCAACTAACAGGCAAGAGCCAGCAGAGCTCTGAATGTTTATAGTCCCAATGCTTCTGAGACGGAGTGAGCCAGACCATGCCCGTGGTATAATTATAATGGTTTTGTGATGCATCCAGAGTTTTACTGAAGCCCAGAATGAGAATAGAAACTCATTTTCCAGTTAGACCTATATTAGGATTTGAACACAGGTTTCTTTTCTAGAAGTGTAAAGCTAGTGCAATAACTGCAATTAACCCATTACTATACCCAGAACATATGAGATGACGAGGCATATATTACTAGTAGGATTCCTTTAGTTAGTCTCTTTTCTCAACAAAGAGCAAGTTTATTTAGAATAACTCCATCTAGTCATCTTCTGCCATCTTGCTTACACTTGCATGTGTGTTGAGGTGATAGGCTTGATACTTTTGGGCTACCACATAACAATACAAATCTCATTAGAAAATGCTAATGCAGTTAGTCACTATGTTGTGGCATAGATCCAAACATTCCTAGGTGCTGATTTAGAGGGAGCACCAGAAAGGCAGCACCCAGAGAGCCTGTACCATGTCACACCATGGCAGCAGCAGCCCATGCACAGAGAGGTAAGACTTTCCAGTGCTTGGCCTCCTGTTTCCCCTTGCTATTGAGTGTCTCTGACCTACCATAATTCTCTACAGATTGAAAGCGCATTGTTACCAAATGATACAACTTTGAACTTCTACATGGGCATTCAGAAGAGCATTTGCTTTTCCCGTATATTTGCTTAGGGTTAGATTCTGTTATTCATACTCACAACAAAGCGGGTGGTACCTCTCCCAAGGAACTGCCTTGTGGATCTCTCTCAACTTTACAGATGATGGGACAGCCTCAGAGATTCAAGGCCCAGCTTTCAAAACCAAGCCCATTGCAAGTGTAAAAAAACATAATCATGTTGAAAGTTCCCCACTGACCCCAATACATGCGCTGTATCAGTTGAGTCTGGTCCATTGAGTGGAAGACTAGCAACAGAAATGAAGCAGGTTTTTTAAAAGTTATTTCTTAAGCACAACATGTTCAAAATAATTGCTTTAAAATGAGTTTTGAGTTTAATATAAACAATGGATAGACTGCAAATATAACGTGTACAACAAAACTCATTTTATGATAATGCCATCTTATACACAATATTCCTCAGTATTGAGATTAAAATGCTACGGTCCCTGGTAGGGTATATAAATGTCCACAGCAAGTGTATGAATCCTGGTCAAAAGCATGTATTTAATAGGGTGGTGTCACCCATTCAACATAACATTTACTAGGTGTAATTAACATGTTAAGCAAATGCATGTTCAAGCAGTTTAGTGCATATTAAGTACCATTGTAGCATTGCTAAATTGTTCCCTTTCAGGCAATATTATCTAACATACTAACTTTAATACATGCAAACCTGAATAGGTGACAGCACTCCAATGATTTGCAACCACTGCAAGTGAATGTGTGACTACCTCCATAGAGAGCTTTTTTTTTTTTTAAACTAAGAACCAGGGTTTTTTTTCTTTTTTATACAGGCACCAAATTACATTTTGTCATACTTTCCTGAGTTGAACTTTGAAAACAATTGCTATGCAGAGTATTAGCATTAACAAGATCAATCAAGGTCTTGCTCTTCATTGACTATAATAGTAATCATGGCCATAGACATCATATCCATGCCCTTTGTAATAGCTGTACTCGTCCTCATAAGTTCTGTAGGTGTCTCCGCGGGGGTACCCATTCTCGCTTCCGTAGTTATAATCTGTTTGGCTTTCATATCCGTTTTCATAGCCGGGGGTAGGACTTTCTTCATACCCATAACCCTCCTGATCTACAGTGGTGGTAGTGTCATAAGGCACCTCATCCTCAGTGGTAGTTGTGTCATACAGCCCCTGATCTCCAGTGGCGGTGATGACAGTCGTTGCTTCAGTTTCATTTTCTTCCTCCTCCACTTCCTCCTCATTTCCCTCTTCAGCCCCCTCATTGCCATTGCCTTCCCCATTCTCACCTAGGCCATTACCTCCATTCCCAGTCTCTGCTTCAGTAGTGTTGGTGCTAGTGCCATTAATGCCATTTCCATTTTCATCCACTTTTTCTTCATTTTCATTTTCCTCCTCTTCATTGTCCTCCTCCTCATTTTCATCACTATCTTCATTTTCAGAGCCTTTGCTCATCCAACCTTTTTCTGGAGCCTTGCCCTTTCCCCCCTTTTTAAGGGCTTCACTTTTCTCTTCTTTCTCAGGACCTTTGCAGTCTTGGCCCTGGGTTGCACATGGCAAAGAATTCAGAATTATGAAGGGATAAGTATACAAGGCAGCAACACAGCCTTTAAAAAAAATTAAATATAGGGCCATATACTAGGATCTTTACTTCAGACTTGATGAGCTTTACCCTTACATGACTACAGGGAAAAATAGGAGCAGAGAAGAAACCTGCTACTTGCATGCCTTTCAGTCATGGCCTATTCATGCAGGGCAGGGTAGGACAGGACAGGACAAGAATTACACTAAATTACACTATAGATGCTTCCCCAGTTCCAACAGCTGATGGCGGGGGGAGGGGAGGTGTCCACCCATCTTTCCAATATACAAAATTACACAGGGGCTAGAAACAGCAATAAGGTACACATTTTAAAAACTGTAACACATTACACTGACCTAATCTTCTCTGCTCAGCACAGGGCACATAAAATCCATGTGCCTGAGGAATGCTATATTACATGAGGTATAGGATCTAGTCACATAGTGGGTGATACAGTCATGCAGGCTATCGCCACAGAGACTTGCTCCTGTACAGCTTGGCTTACCATCTACTTGCTCCTTAGCTTGTACTAAGAAGCTGAATGTGCTTCAGAGAATGAACATTGAAAAAATGTATTTTATAGCACTGTTGATCTCTCTTGCTTGTTGGAAGCAGATAGATTTATGGCACAGTGAAACCTGTCTCTACATTGGAAACTCTTTGGGAAAGGGACTTCCTGTGTACATATATACAGTGCCTACCACTATGGGTTCTTCTACCAGGTCTAGGCCTATAGGAGCTATTGAAACAAATAATAAATGCCCTAGATTTTTTTTAATGGGGTGTATCAGTGGGAACCTTCTTGTAAAAGGCTTACCCAGCGCATATTAGGAGTGACTTCACTGATGTCCACTGCCTGACACCAGAGTAAAAGGGGCAAACAGAATCAAGGCTAAGACACTTGATGATTCTTCAGGCCAGTCTATTTAGGCAGGGGGTCATCTCATCAAGGAGGTCTCTTGTATAGGCTCCACTGTATTATTCTGGAGGTCTGCAAACTTTACCTTCTTAGGAGCTTTGGTTTCTCCTTTGCTAAATCCCTTCTTGTCTACGGGGACCTTCCCAGTGGGAGCCTCTGTGGTGGTCTCTTCACCCTCATTCTCCCCTTCGTTAGACTGT